AAAAAAATATAAAAAAAAATATTCTAGTAGGTATATTTAGCTGCTGGACGGTTTAAGAGATAGTAAAATTTATATATAAAAAAAAATATATTTGTTCAGATAATTCGTGATTTGCCTATTAAAAGATTAGCAAAAAAGGTTGTATTAATAAAAAAGTGGCTATATATTAGAGGGCTTTCAGAAATCAGCTAATTAGGGTTTACTAATAAATTATTCGAATCTACCCTCACCCCCTTATCTGCTAGCCAATCAGATTTTATGTTTATTAAAACATAGAATTAAAATTATATATAATATTTAATATTGAATAACTTTTGATCTATTGGGCCAATTTAAATAATTTAACTACCAAAATGATTCTCTCATTAAGAAAATTCTAACTAGTCTAAAATTATAAAAATCTAATCACTAGATGTTAAGATATAAATAGTTTTGTATTACTATATAATAATATAGACATGACTAGACAGTGCCCTATACATTTTGTACCCCTATTTTTAATTGATGAATAATCATGTGACTAGATATATATAAATATATACACAAGCAAACTAATTTATAATATGCAGTATAGTATTACTACAGTATCAAATTTAACAAATTTTATTGTCCAGAGCGAAGCGGAGGAAACTCTATTTTACATCTATATTTGATATACAAGGTCACGTAAATTCTATCTGTCTGTTTTTAGATTTCTAATTGGCTACAAATCACAATCATCTGATTGCTTCAGATACACAATATTACGTATTGCCTAGTGCTTACAAAACCAATCTACCACAAATTAAGATATGAAAGAAACTTCTAATTACACGCTAAAAATATTATCATATAACATAACCATAGTACAAAAACTTAATTGCCTTAAAGAACAGAAATTTAGATATCTATATTTGTATTAACGTAATGTTAAACTAGTTGCAAGGCCATCAATTTTTTTATACCATGATTATACAGGCAGGTTGAGCGATTAATATCTATATATTGCAATTTAATTAGTATATTAGAACTACCCTAGTGTTTCTATTCTAAAATTTCATATCTGATTAATTAAAATTTAAGATCATAGGTGTACTTTATATATTAAGATCAATTCAAAAAAATTTAAGATCAGGTGCAATATAGAATTTCGAAACAAAATACACTAAACCATAATGTTGGTAGCAAAATTTTTTAGGTAGTGATACTAAAGTTTTAATACATTAGCTATATTAATATAAATTTTCTAATTAGATGAGTTATTATTATTATATTATTGCAAAAAAAAATATATATATAAATCTTACCTATTTCTTAAACTATTTACAATTTTTTTATTGTCGCTATGCATATATCTGCATAGTACTTAACTACTATTGGAAAATTATAGAAAGTGATTATTCAAATAAACTGTTGACCTTCGATTCAAATGCTACATAGTTTCGATACTAGCAAATACAGCAATAGCACTATCTGGAAATACTTAAAAAATATTTCAAATGATAGTATATGAATTAAAATCTTAAACTAAACTATTAAAACCTAAGTTTGCATTGCAAATCAAAGAACCAAAAGAATAAAATAACTATTCACAAATCTTGCTCATTTCTACATTATGTATTTTATCTAAATTTTTCTATGTTTTTTATCACAATGCCTTATGTTATGCTCTTGCTTATCGCAGTATATATACTTAATACTTCTAACATCCAATCTTGCAATTAACTCTTTATCATTTTTACTATATCGTATTCTCTTTAGGTTGTTTGTAGGCAAACTTTTATCATCATTTTCAAATTCTGAATCATTGTATCTTGCTATTCTCTTTGAGTGCTATTTCATAACCAGATCATCACTATCACTTTCTGATTCTGTATTAGTACTACTATCTGACTCAATACAATTTTTCTTTTTTTGGCAACTTCTTATATTATGCCCTTGCTCACCGCAGTATTTATATTTGTTACTCCTTGTTTTAGACAATTGTTGATTTTCAATACAAGAGAGAATGTATCGAGTCTCTCGTAGATATTCTTTTTTCGATATTGTTACTGGATTTTTAACTATAAGTTGATTTGAATTTAATTGTTGGATATTTTCATTTTTTAGTTCATCATTATTTTGACTTTGACCATTACTTTGATTTTGCTAATGAAAAATTAGCATTATTTCCTTTTTTTAAAAATCCTCAAGTAAAGTCATTAATTTTTCATTTAATTTCAGCTCGACGGCCTTGTTTTGGCAAGCCCAAAAACTTTTGCATAATATTGTTTTTCTTTCAAATAATTTTGAGTTGGCTTAATTTTTCTATTAGATAATCTATGAATATTGGTATTCAAAATAGAAGCCCACTTGATAAAAGAATAGTTTTCATAATTAGATGTTCCCAATTGAATAAAGGATTTGTTAAAAATATCATTATTATAAACATGGTCTTTAAACTAGTGCCAGTTTATCATATAAATATGAAATCTTGCTGATAGTGTCAGAGACATAATATAAAAAAAATACTGGCAAACCTAGCCCGAAGTTGTGGATAATTTGCAAATGCACTAATAATTTCTATCAACTAAAAGAAACACAAAATGAGAGACATTTCTATACTTAATGTGTCTAATTTTCCAAACTGTAACTATTTAATTGTGATATTTATGAAAAACTAAGCTTGCTCGAACTTGAAGTAAGTCAAAAATTTTATCTAAGCATGCTGTTTCATATTCTACTTCTTTATCCTGAAGATCCATATAATTGATTAAAGCCTTCACGTTATATAAAAAACTGTAATTCATTTGTTCACAGATTTTATTAACAATTGGCAAGGTAATAAAGATACGAAGTTCCAAATAAATATTTGAAAAGATCGTGTTGTAAATATTAGGTGATAAAATAAATGGTATAGACTCTTTCCATAATATAAATTCGCTATTAAATTGATATTCTTAAAGGAGTTTAGTAACACAATTATAAACTTCAGATAAAGCCACAAAGCATCTATTCAGTTTTGTCTTAATAGTATTATTTATACTTTCTACTTGGCTTGTTGATTGCATGCTTGCAGTAAAGCAAGAGCTTGTATAATATTTTGCTTACACCCGTTTACTTTCATATAAATAATTAAGATAAGGTTGAGTATTAGAGTACTTTTCAATTAATTCTAAATATTGCTGCTCAAAATTCACAACTTCAAGCCTATTATGATATCTAAAAAATGCTTTAGCAAAATTTTCATACTCTCCTAATAACTTATTATGCAGATTTTTCAAAACATTTTGCCCAATATGCCAAATGTAGTGTAGATGTTAAGTTAAGGGATATGTTTGTGCAATTGCTGCATCCATAGCTGGATCAGTATCTATAATCATAATTGGGGGTGATAAATGAGTTGCTTGAACGAGCATTCTCAAACTCCATGAATATGATTCTAATGATTCATCTTTTAAAAATGTCTATATAATTAGCCTTGAGTTATAGTTGTTATCAATGATTAAAAAAAATGATAATAGCAAATTATGAATATTGGTTTAGCGGTATTATTATGTGCAACAACAGATCTATAATGAGTATATAGCTCAACTTGATATAGCTCTATCCAAAAGAGATATGTGAGAGCCTGTATTACCAGATCTATCTAAAATTCAATGACCTATTCTGGATTATTAGTTTTTTTAGAAAATAAATCATTTAATAAATTGCTTGCATCATAAAGTGCTGGTAATTTTTGGTAACAAAAATGGCCAATAGCATTATACAAATCCTTCTTTATGATATGTTATTTGTACTTGCTTAAAAGTAATTGATACTGTTGGGCCACCTTTATATTTTCTTCTAATGTTCAGAATTTAATGTCAGCAAGTATCGGCTTTGTTAATTTACGAAACTGAGGTAGTAAATATATAGTATCAGGAGATAGAGCATACTCTTAATGTTTGTTAGCAAATAAGATAACAACACAGTTATTATCTCTATTTTTGTTAATGTTAAGATGCTATAAGCAGTCTACTTTGCATGACTCTGTATTACGTTGATTCTCAGAAGCAACCTTTTTGTTTGAGATAAAAGTTCTAGCATGTTGACAAAGAAAAATATGTTTTTTAACATCCTGATTATCCCTTTTTTTAGACTAATTCTTGCGATAGCCAAAGCCTTTTCATTTACAATATTCATTTAAGAACAAGATTACTTCTTCCCATGATATGAATGATTTTCTAACATAAAGCTTATCAACTTTACTAGTTACATGATCTTTGTTAATCGATATTTCTTCAAAATCTTGTCTTAAGCTATCTATATCAATCACTGCTTCCTCAAAACTCTGCTTTGGGCTATTCATATCAAATGCCACTTCTTCAAAACTTTGCCTTGAACTATCCATATCAATTGCCTATTAGTTTGTAGATTTTTTTTAATTGTCTAGTTTTCGTTAGATATTCTTTGTAAAAAAAAAAACCGCGGTTTAGACTAAATCTTCAGTATTAACAGTATTGAAAAGAAATATGTTATGTATCTTGGTCACGTATTAAATACTTCAATACGTTCAAAAATAATAAATAGAATATACGAATATTTAAATCTATGAAAGAGAAGTCATATATTACCATTCCACATGTTGAATATTTGAGCAAGCGAAAATATGAAAACTAAGTTTAAATTTGGATTTACTTTGTTAATGTATATAGAAAAAAGATGTTATATTACTTGCTTGCTTGCGTGCTCTTGTTCAAGTATAGAAAAAATATTAACGTCTTGCCTTATACTTAGTGAAGTTTAGTGTGCAAAAAAAACTTAATTTGACAAAAGAACAAAAGTGGAAAAAGGTTTGATCATTTATGTCTTGCCTTATATACTTATGAAGTTTAGTATGCAAAGTAAACTAGTGTGCAAAGAAAACTAGTGTACAAAAAAAACTAGTGTGCAAAGAAAACTTGATTTGGCAAAAAAATAAAAGTGAAAAAAGGTTTGATCATTTATGTGATCATATTTTCTATTTATTACATACGATTAGTCATATCACAAACAATATAATTTTATTCCACAAATAATTAAACTCAAGTAGTACATATCTACATATATATACAGGGTACGAACCCAGAGTATGAACCTGAAGTGCAGATCTGATAACTATAATGTATTATAAAATATATATTTATAAGTAAAGAGGCATAGATTTATCCTAATAATATAATAAAATATATTTATAGTAATACAAAACTATTTTTATCTTAGCATCTAGTGATTAGATTTTTATGAT